GTCAAGGTGCTGAGCAGGTGCTGAAAAGGTGTCAAGGTGCTGAGCAGGTGCTGAAAAGGTGTCAAGGTGCTGAGCAGGTGCTGAGATGCCAGGGTGCTGGGTGCCAGCACTTTCCCCCTTGTGTTTTTCACGCTGCATCGAATGAGAATGTTTTCAAACATTTTACATTAGGATATTAATGAAAAACAACTGAATTTAGTATGAAAAAGACCACTTTTTCCCTATAAAAAAATGTAAAAAATGCGGTTTTTGGTACATTATTTCGACAGTTTTCAGTAAATTTTAACCCAACAACTCTTTTTAAAATTTTTTCCATATATACAGTTTTGTAGAGCACGACGAACTCTATCGAACCATGTAAAAATATCCAAGAGAAACATTTTAATTTATTTTTGAATTAGTGGCCCCTTCCTTTTCCACCGCCAAAAAATATAAAATTTCTGAAAGTTTCTTAAGTTCGATATTAAAATGTTTTCATAACCCTTACTATTCAATGTCAATAAACCCCATTTTTGACGGGGTTTCATTTGATATAAAATTCATTATGTCTTCTATTTGAAATTATAGCGGTGCCTCCCTGGCAAAATATTATTTTCAACCTAGTAGTATCTGGCCGGCATTTCTTTGCTATTGTTCAGAACTACGTAGATTGACCTGAACTGTTCTATGAAATTATGCTTTATATTTAAGGATGGTCATATGAGTGACCGTCTCAAGCATTCTTTCTAATTTGATTTCTTTTGTTTGTAAAACAGCTCACTTCAAATTCACATTTAGTAGTGAACTTCGCATTGGAGAGACTACTTAGACTGGTGCAAAAATGATCTTTGATAATTTTCTTCTATTAAGAATACTTTTTTCGAGATCTCGTTACAAACTTTGATGGAATATTATCTAAAACCTAATATTAAAGATCTGTTAGATATCTGTAACTTGGATTTTGATCAAGATAAGATATTTTTCTTCGAAGATGTTACACTAGAGAAAGACCAGTTACTTTAGATGTCAATCTGCTGTTCTTATCGGAAGTGGTGATGATAACTTAGCGAGATGTGATCAATGTTGTTATACATTTTGTAAAAGATGTAAAGAAATCTATCATTTTCAAGCAATGTGTCCAAAAGATTATTTAATTGAACAATTAAAATTACAGCAACAAAAAGAACGTGAAAGAATTGCAAAGCAACAGGAAGAAGAAAGAGAAAAATATCGAAAAGCACAAGAAAAAGATCAAAAGAGACTTGCCAAAGAACGAGAAAAAGCTCTTCAAGAACTAGCTAGAATTGAAAAACAAAAAGAAACTTTAGCTGAAAGAAAACTTGCTAAACAACATTATCGTGAAATTGTCATTGACTTAACGGACGAAGATATTTTGTTAGAAAATATTTTAAGTGCTGAACGAATGGAAGTACTTAATACTCAACCATGTCCAAATTGTCATGCAAGAATTGAAAAAAATGGTGGTTGTTCACATATGCATTGTTCAAGATGCGATTTTCGTTTTAATTGGTCGTCACCAGAAGGACCTCGACCTCCTGAAATAACTTCACTGTTATATCTTTCTTCTAATGGACTATCAGTACAATCTATCAAAGAAGAATTAAATAAAAAATCAGATACAGGTTTGGAACAGAGATTATTTCAATATTAAATAGAATCTGATTTTCGTTTAGCTAAAGTAACCGAACCAAACATCGAAAAGACTGATTCCGATCAATTGACAGAGGATGAAAATAAACAAGATACGAAGATTTTAATTAATAATCGATCATTTATTGGTTCTTCTATCGTCAAACGAGTGACACAATGTCAGAATACTTCATGTAATAAATTCAATGTTAAAATAGCTGACGATAATTGGATTGTCTGTAGCGGATGTTTCAAGCAATATTGTTTTTCCTGTCTTAACACCATTAAAGGACCAATGCATTTCCAAAAAGAATGTGACCGTTATACACCAGTTTAAATACTATATTCACTATCTTGTAAAAACAAATCTCGAAAAACATCGTATTTCAAAGGCACATTCTTAAAAAGAAATCCTATTTTTGCATTCCAATACACTGCTCTTTCTTTTTCTGTAATATACTTAACTAGAAAATGTCACTTCGAAACACCATTTCAACGCATTTACTAAGGTCATCGGACAATTCGACGCTGATATTCCGTTGTAACAAAAGAGAATTGTTTTGCACGCATTCTTTATCATTTTGGGTGTCGGTGTAAAGAAAGATGATTAACTATCACCCACACCTCTCACAAGGAGGTTAAGATTCAAGGGCAACATTTACTTCAATATCGTCTGAAAATGGTATTTTTCTAAAATATATCCATTAAAATGAATCTTGGGACTGTTTAGAATTTTCCGAAAGTTATATAAATCAAAAGAGCTTCAGTAAAAGTAGTTTTTTTAACGCAGTATTTTCTCGTTTACGTTGATTTTTAAAGACAATATGAAACTGTAAAAGTCGCCAATAAAGTATCTGAATCATATCCGTCGACCCAGGATATCTTAGATAATCGAAAAAAGACGTCATTCACAATTACGATTACTATGTCATTTTATAGAAAACTCAAGTATGTGTTGATTTACGCCATTTCTTTTTATATGAGCTTTATAAAAGATAACGTCATGCTCATCATAGTTACTGTTTGGAAGACTCGATAATTGCGTACCTCTTACAGTTATTTAGTTTTAGAAAATTTTGTTATAGGTCATACTTGAAAGAAAATCAGGCTGTGGATGTGGGTGTGGGTGGGTGTAAGTGAAACACCTAACCACATGCACACTCACACCCACACCTACACCCGCACTCACACCCACATCCACACCCTTACCCACACCCCACACTCACACCCATACCCACACCCTATAACTTGAAATGATAATTGATGTGAATTGTTGAAATTTTCACAACTGTAGAATTGTATAATAATAGAATTGTATGAAATATTAATGTCAGTCGTGAGTCGAAAATACGAAGTAATAAATCTTTTCCATTCGTGATAGGACTAATGCATAAATCATGTATATATTTATCTAAAGCAATTCTTGTTCTCATCTGCAACTTATTTCAATTCAATGAACTCGAAGTATGTCAATGTCTTCGACTCAGTCAACAGCTAAGCTCGAAATAGAAGAGCAAAGAAAAATATTTGAAAATGAATTCACAAGACTCGGATTGAATCCATACAACTTGACGATGTTTGCAAAGTTCGAAGAGTATATTGGAATTTATTTTCTTCAATTACTTTTTGAAAGAAAACTTAAAATTTAACGTTTTTGTTTCTAAGATACAGACAACTATTGTTGTTATTCGTTATAACAGACTTTTTTTGTTTCGTTTACTTAAATTTTCCTTCAGACTCATCAAACTGTGGAAAGAATTTCAACCGTAGAGTTGAGTAGAAGTTTGATGCATTGAATCAAGTTTGTATGATACAATATCACCTTCATTCATGATCAAAGTGTTAATGTAATCACAAGATTTGAACTATTTGCAAACAATAAGACCATACTCTTTGAGATGAAAGAATATTTACAAGGGTCGCAGCGGCCTATGTCTCGAAATCAGAAAAACAGGCAGGACACAACTTGAGGAAAAATCAGGTATTTTTTTTTATAAAAGCCACGACATTGTATGACATATTAAAGTATTGTTCTTTAGGATGAAATGAAACCAGCATCAAAGTAAATAAGTTAGTTATAGCTCATTGAAATTACAAGATACATTTCTTCGATAGAAATCCAGACTGATCAAGCAAAAATCAACAATGCAACAATGTAACAATATAATCTTTCTTTAGATACATACTTCAAATCTTGCTTTTTATCTTTTCGTTCTCTCTCTCTCTCGATCAGTATGTACTCTTTTTGCGTTCTCTCGACATCAGAGATGGGGGATTGGGGGTGAGGCGCTCGTTACTTTTGGAGTGTTCCCTTTTCTATAGCCGAAAATTATATTCTTATCAGAGAAATGCTAGTTAACGAGTCCCGTTGAAGCTGAATGTGGAATTCACATATCTTCTTTGGTTTTATCATACTAGTACAAAATAGAGAAAGTGTAAAATTCTTATAAGACGACAATCTTTTTTCAATGGTGATTGAGTGTGAGCGAACGTTCTTATTTTATTTTAACCTTGGGAACAAAATTTTGTTTTCGTTTTTTATGGACACCCTATTTTTCCTTTTCATTGCTACTATTCGCTCGTTATGCTTCATTTTCTTATTACATGTTTCTTAACGCCACATTATTATTATTATAAGTATTGAATTAAATGGCAAATAAGGCTATGTTAAACGTTTCATGTTTAATCCCAGTTGTTCAAATCTGTGATAGAAGGGCTGAGGGGGTGGGTGTTTGTAATGTAGAGGGTGGTGTGGTGGTGATAGACAGAAGGGAACAGAATATCTTCGAATTAAAACTTTCAATCTCTATTTTCTTCAAAAATCTATGTGGGTTTCAAAAAAGATTGTAAAATGATAGAAGAAAGTTCAGCACTTCCGCACTTTCAACAACGGTATATGCACCGTTTTAGCACTCAAAGATATCCTTGCATTGCTCTTTCCTTCACTTTTTATCTTCGTCCCATTCCTACTCTCCACACATATAAAGCTACCAGATTATGCACATTTGCTTCTAAAAACTGTGCTCCTCAGTGTTTTATCTAGGTATTTTTCTCCGGAGGAGTAATTTGAAATTTCGGGAGGGCGAAACATTTTGGGGTGGGGGCGCCGCCCCCCGTGCACCCATTTGGATAAAACACTGGTGCTCCTTGAATTAGATATTTTAAAATGCCAAACAATACAGTGTTGAGGATTTAGGGTGTGTTGGTGAGTGTAGTTCTGTGTCGATATGAATCTTCGCTTCAACTTGAATCACCCTGACACCTTTCCAAGAAACTTATTCATATGATCCAAAAGATGATCAACACCAAGAAAATTAATTGAGAAATGTTAATGCTGCCAATCGAAAATGAGGTTCTGATACTGAACATAAACGATTGAAAAAAATAGAAATTCATTTGATCAAACGAACAACAGAATTTACAAGAAGAATTGAGTAAAGCAACTAAAATGTTAGAATAAATAAGGTGTAGACTCTCTGCAACCATGAACGATTGAGAATTTTATTACATTGGTATCGGGGAAGTATTTATGACAACTGCTAATGCTAAAATAGTTACTTTGTTAAATCGATTAATTGATCGTACTGGAAAATTAAACTGATTAAAAAAAAAACATGAATGATTGAAATAAATATAATTTGAGTGTTGTCTTTCTTGTTTGTATAAAATAATCTACAAATATTTCTGTATAAATCATAACGAAATGTTGAATATAACAAAATACCACGGTATAATGACCTATATATGACTCTACCAAGGTGGATCATGAAATATCAGGATAAAGTTAGATCTTTTAGTCAAAAATAGGAAAATCAGAACATCTAAAAAAGTCAGGTAAAAGGGTGGGTGTACAGTAGATACACACCCACATTCACACGATATGAAATTGGGAATCTCAAGTCATTTTTATTTCTCACGGCGAAAAGTCTTTGGCATTTAGAGCACGTAAAAACTTATGGTCCATTGAGTGAGAGAATGTACTTTTCAATCAATTTGACCTATTGTGAGCTGAGTTAGTATAACTTGACACCCTGGCGATGCACCACAATCAGGATGAGCCGTGCCGCCAAATGAATTAAAGCTGATGCTGTCTATGTCTGTCCAATGAAGTAGAATAAATTGTGGTTTACCAAAGAGAAGTGTTGTTGTATGTGTGTTGATCTCTACATCATCTCGATGTCCTGTGATGGTTAATTGTTGATCAGTGTTCGAAGCAGCACATGCAGTAACAGAAAAAAAAGTAAATTTTTCGTTTGGGCTTTCGGCGTCGATTGATGCATTATCCATGAAATATGCAATGTATGAACTACCACCAGGCATGAAGGATGTTGCATATGCACTTTTTGGATATTTCAGCATTGCATACGATTTGTGCATATATGAAATTCTAGTCCATTTCAGTCCACTATACTTTTTCGGAACGTTTTTCAATTGGTCAACAGAATTTGGCAAATCATCAAATGTGATCCTAATTGTAGTGATCGATGGCTCTAAACTCATTATATTTATTCAAAATGTAACATAGTTATTCACTTACTCAATATGCGCGTTTCATCCAATTGAAGATTGAGTTCGTGTATTTCACGTTTATTCTCTTTACATTCATCTCGAAGTTGTCGAAGTTGTTCTTTCAAACAAATTTGTTCTGTATGTTGTTTAGCAGCTTCACCTCTTTTGTATATGAGTTTGCAATCTGGACAAGTTAATTCGATTAATGCACAGCTGCTATTATGGTTATCAAAATCTTTTTTCAATATTTGTGATTGACAACCGGGACATCGCCGAGGCTCGAAGCCACATTCAATTTCATGTTTGTCTAATCTTTCATATGAAATGGTCTATGAAAAGAAATAAAAGTATACAGGTGAAAATGAGATCATTCTCTGAATACTTGATTGCAACCATTAGATTCATAGAAACAAGCAACCTGTAATTGAGTAAGTAGTTTAGTAACAAATGGAGGGCATTCTCGTTCAATGTATTTTTCGTCACAGTTTGGACATTTTCTTGGATTGTTAACCAGCCATTGACAAATACATGCCGAACAGAAAGGTGTTTCACATGATTGACAGGCAACAGGTTTCCAAAGTAATTCTTGACAAATAGAACATTTGAGATGATCAACACTGAGCCCAGAGGAGTCACCAATACGATGAGATGATAAACCTTGTTGTTGTTTAGATGACATCTAAACAAAATGAAAAGAAAGCCATCAATATTAACAAACTTTCATTCGTGTATTATGAACAAAGTTCTGCGTATCTTTATTCGAATACAGGTGTAAATTTTAAAAAAATGATGCAGAGTTTGATGACGGCTCTCTTTCTTTTATTTCAA